AAATAAAAGTAAAGGAAATAGCTTGTTATAATGCTGTAAATAGAGTAGGAATGTAAAAATTTTGAATAAAAAACCCCCTAAAAAAATAAACAAAACAAAACAAAAAACTTTTAATAGTGGGATTATAAAACCAAATCAAATACCAAAAAATGTGCTTAGTAAATGCTACAGTCCTAGGCAGATATTTATATACATGCCTTTATGAAAAGTACAGGAATCAGTGACTAGTAAGGTGTAAATTGAGTAATGGTAGGATCTTAAAGGTTAAAGGAGTAATTTTCTGCATATAACAATGTGGCTGAATTTTTCTTTCTTCTTACTCTTTTAGAGATGTTAGTTAGGATTTCGGTCCAAGAATAAAAAGTAAACATTTTGTTTCAATGGCCCTTTCTTTGATCTGTGGACTCTGTGAGCAATCATCTCATGATTATTATTGTGAATGTTTGTAATATATTTTAAGATACTCAGTTTTTGCTTTTCTGTGCCTGACCCAGAATGTCTTTGACAAGAAATATGCAAATATTGCAAAATAAATAATTAAATAACATATTAAATGTTGATTATAATACTTTTTCTACATAAACTATTTTCATAAGATTCATTAAACTATATTACTCAAAGTGCTTCCCATTTTAATATGGATTTCAACTTTCTCATTAAAGATTATTTTAAAAGACAAGTTGATTGATGAGAGAAGTGAAAAACCTGGAAGCAATCTTTTGTCTATAGATCAGGGGTGTCAAACTCAGGGCCTGGGGGCAAGATCCGACCCGCGGGGCTGCTCTGGAAACAGCAAAGGACTGGCCCACAGTGCCTTTGCCAGCGAACACGGAGCTCGGGAGGGCCACATGCAGCCCTCCCGAGCTCTGTTTTCACTGGCAGAGCACTAGGGCCATCACAGGCGCCCCCGACACAAGTGATTTTAAGTTGGCCACACCCTCCCTGGCCACGTCCACTCCGTGCCCCCCACTCGAGATCAAACACAACTCTAATGTGGCCCTCAGTTAAATCAAGTTTGACACCCCTGCTATAGATAGAGTCATCTTCAAAGTTCGAGCTAGAGTTATAATCCATTCAGCACCATCATAATTTCAAATGGTCACCAAATGAATGGTCATAAGTCAAATACAGATAGTTCTCAACCTACAACCACATTTCAGACCAAAATTTCCATTACTTAAGCAAGGTGATTGTTAAATGAGTCATACCCAATTTTATGAACTTTTTACCTCTAAAATCAGCACAGTTGTTAAATGAATCTAGGTTCCCCCATTGACTTTGCTTCTCAGAAGCTGGCTGGGAAGATAGCAAATGGTGATCACATGATTCCGTGATGCTGCAGCCATCATAAATACATGCGAGTTGTCAAGCTCCCAAATTTTAAACACATAACTGTGATGGTCTTAATTACGAGTATTGATCATAAATAACATTTTTCCAGTGCTGTTATGACTTCAAATGGTCACTAGACAAATGGTTGTAAGTCGAGGGCTGCGTTTACAAAGGTCATGTGGAATTTCAGAGTGCTAGATTTGAATGTAGCTTGTGTTTAAAGTACTTCATTAATACCAGAAAGAAGTGCAAAAGAACAAAAATGCCTTTTAGTGTGAAGAAAGTCATTAAGTCTTTACAAAGTCGTTTTGGAAGGCTTTGAAATTCTTTCCATATACCAGGACCTTTGGGCTTCAACTTCATTACTGTGTACAATACCATGAAGCTGTTGGATTTAGCTGCTGGCGTATCTCTCTCTGATTGTACCATAGTTTGGAACAATGCACTTTTCTTTCAAAGATAGTGAGGGCAAGTCAACTCCTGTGTAGACATTTTGGGTTGTAGATGTAGGTTTCTGATTCATGTGCCTTGATTATTTAACACAGGGAAATATGGGTTGGAGATTATTTGACAGCAACAAATCAGCTTTATTTTCTTAATGGAAAGAAACAAAAACCCCAAGAACATGGATAACAACAGAGAAAATGCAAAATTGAAGACATTCACTTACGCATAACCAAGGAGTGTAAAATAGACAGGTAATAAAATAGATAGGTCTTATAGATAATAGGTTTTATGGGTATAGTTAGCTAGATGAGCTCAATAAGTTTTATAGGCTTTATGTGTATAATTGTTATGTTACTGTATCTTAAATTACTCTTATTCATATATGTATGCAGGTAGTCCTTCGCTTACAGTCATTCATTTAGTGACTGTTTGAAGTTACAGCAGCACTGAAAAAATGACTTATAACCAGTTTATACACTTAGGACTGTTAGCACGGTCACATGATCAAAACTTGAGTGCTTGGTGACTGGCATGTATTTATGACAATTGCACTCTACTGGGGGGGTCATATGATCACCATTTGTAACTAGTTGGCTTCCAACAAGCAGTCAGTGGAGGAAGCCAGATTTGCATAATGACTGCATGATTACTTAACAACTGCAGTGATTCACTAACAACTGTGGCAAAAGAATAATAAAATGGGGCAAAACTGACTTAACTCTGCCTTGCTTAGCAACAGAAATGCTGAGATGAATTTAGTCTTAACTTGAGAAATGCCTGTATGTATTACACACACACACACACATCACTATATTTAATGGTCCTTCAGTAGAGAGAGGCAGGGCAGAGGCAGACGCAACAAAGAATATTTCTGTCATGTTTATCTTTTCTATAGACTGCAACCTAGCTGAAAACAGAATGCTAGATTAAAAGACTTCTTTATTTGATCCAAGACTAAATCTCTTTGAACATTCATTAAATATAAGAAAGCTTGTGTATGATACTAAAAACTATGGAAGTGGAGTGCAGATTTGATCATATAAAGGAGACTTAATTGCTGATTGCATTTCTTTTTAGTAATTCATTGAATTTTTTAGCCTTGTAGACATCAATTCCAAGAGTAATGGAGTTTAAATTTGCCCTTTGCTCTTTATCGTTATTTACTGAAAAGAGAATTTGGGTAATTTCTTTGGACCAAGATTATCTCACATTAGATGACTCAAGTGCTTTGTTGCCTAATTTAAGTGTTTTACTTATTAGTTGACTGAAATAAGTAAGTTAAAAGTAAATATCCTGTTTAACTTACTTAGAAAATAAAGAAGATGAAAGCATTTAATGGGAAACAATGTCTTCGGCTGTAGTGGAGTTTTTCTGTTTAAACAAGGCTGTCTTTTCTACTGTTTACATATTTTAGTTACTCCATACTTGAAGGAGTTGGCTAATTGCAAGATTGGAGACAGGGGCTTTTTTTTTTTTGTTCGTGGTCAAACAACTTTATAAAATTAGAAGGGAGACATATGAAAAACTGCCAAATTTGTCTTGGCAAAGATAACTCAGTTAGATGTACATGCTATCAGGACTAATTACTTTTTTAAAAAAAAACCTTGTTTTTTCTCTGTGGGAAAAGCAATATAATACTTTTAGCCAGTAACTTGGCTTTCTGAGTTCAGTAATACCTTTCCCAATCTTTAGCAAGTTAACTTAAAGTTGTCAGTAGGAACACTTTTATCCAGCTTTGCATTTAAATGTCTCTTTAGAATGTTTTTATGCCTCTGTGTTTGCACAAATCCTGATCAGCTATTCTAGACTTATTTTGTGCTGGATATCTGATTGATAGATATCCAGGCAGATGGGAATGTAGAGGGTTGTTGATGTTTTTTGTCATAAATTGTTTTCTGAACTACTTTGTAATGATTGTAGACCTAGGTCTTTCTCTAATCAGGGCCCTGATTAGCAAAGAGTTGCTGTTGGCTTTCCTTTTTCTTGTTGTTGTTGCAGGGGGAGATATGAGGATATGGAAGAATGAGGTGGAAGGCTAAGCGAAGCAAATATATTTCATGTAAAGCAATTGGCTGAAAGGAAGAATTTTTTGGCCTGGCTGAAATTACTACTTCTCTCGTGATACTGAAACTAGCATATATCTTTTTTTTTTTTTTAAAGCAATTAGGTCAAGCCATTCAACATAATGTATAGATGTACTAAATGAAACACTTTCCTAATGCTGGAGGACATCTAGCATGCTGCAGAAATAATGCTTGATTTGATGAAACATAGGGTACACACAAATAGTGGACATTTTATCTTGCACAGTTTGATATGAACAGAGTTGGAGAGGTCTTTTAGGAGTTTGGAATATACTTAAGGGAGATAGTAGCCCAGATTCTGCAGATCAGTTACTAACTGTAGAAATCATAAGTCAGGAAATGAACTGGAAGCCTGACAATTTCCTTTCTTAAAGCAGCTGCAGATCTTTTGTGTAAGGTAGAGTAAAATCATTGCAGAATGCAGCAGAGTAATATTGAAAAATCTTAGAAATAAACAATAACTGGGAACATCTCTACTGATTTATGAAATATGGAGACATCTTATAATGGCGGTAGTACTCCATTAGTACTAGATAGTACTAATAGTAGATAGCAACACACAAATTCATATATTCATACTAGTTAAAATCATTTCTAAATATTCAGAAAAAATATGTTGCACAAGATAAAATATATTGCTTCAAATAATAAAAAAAATGTAAAGGAGAGTGAATACATATGCGAATATATATGTATTCAATATTCAATATAAATTCAACAAATCTGCTTAATTGTCCTGTGAAAGTTTATTGAATTAAGTTGTGGAAACATCATTTGATAATAAGCCAAGATAGCTTAAAATACATAATATGTCCCTAATTAATGGGGAGTCTGTTTAAATTTTTCAACCTGCTTACTTATGTGAAATGCTATAGAAACACAGGAGAATGTAATTAGAATCATAATAATCTGTTGGTTGGCTTTTGTCTATTGGAGCAGCAATTTAACTATATAAAAGTCATTTTCATAAAAAAATTCAGGTTTGTGCATTCATTTATAGTAAAAAAAGTATAATTGCAGAGAGAGAAGCTTTAATAAATTGGAAGAATTTACACTTTACTGTTGATTATATAGAGTAAATTTGCAGAAAGTTGCTTTCATTTTCTTGATGTGGACCTTTTATTTGTTTTTTTAAAGGTACGGACACTCTTTGTCAGTGGTCTGCCCCTGGATATCAAACCCCGAGAGCTCTATCTGTTGTTCAGACCATTCAAGGTACTTTCTTTGACTATCAGTCTTGGAAGACAAAACTGAGACTAAGAGCCTTCGTTTGCTTATTTATAGAAACATTGTGATTTGTGTTGTTATTATAAATAGCATATTTCCACAGTAATGTCTGACGGGTTCTCCTGGAGGAGAAGACAATATTCCTAGTATCTGGATTTTTAAAAGTTTGGAATACAGTTAATCATACTATCTTATTTCAACTGAAAACTTGGCTAGAAGGACTTTCAAAGAGACTGAAAGTTGGCCAAACATTCCCAAAGAAAATGGCTATAAATATTAACAGTGGTGTGAAGAAGGCTCCAAGTTACACATATGAGCCTCTACTGATGATAAAGATTAGGTAGAGTTCATAATGTCTGTAAACGATATGCCACATATTGTAGGTGCTATCATATATTTTTCCAAGGCATATTTTACTGGGTTTTTTTATTTTCTAATACCAGCAATGCAAATGTACTAATCTAACATGTTTTTTTTATTTGTTCTGGGCTGATAAACCTCATTTTCATTTATAGAAAGCATAATATTAGCTTATATATGTATGAAATCCACCTTTCTTGGTAATGACCTCTTTTAATCCACTTCATTACATTTCCCCAACCACCCCCTTTGAACTGGGTGTCATGGGAAAAATTCTTTTTTGTGTCACTTCTGTTTGACATCTTGATTATACGCATATTATTATGACTGCGCAAGGCATTTGAAAGAAGGGTTTCACCAAATGTGTTAGAAACAACAAAGCACCTCTGTTTGAAATGTTAAATCAGCCAGGTCGTTTGCAAGACTTTTAGCTTGCAGAAGACTTGACTTCTTTAACACTTCATAGAGAAGTGCTTTGCTTATGCTCACCTACTTTGCTAAACATCTCTTTTGAATGCTTTGCAAATCCCTAATATATATCCCATTAGCAGTTTCTTAGTACTTGAGGTATCTTCCATTGTATTATTAAATGATTTCTAAATCATTTAAACGCTGCTTTTTATAATTTTGCCTCAGGAAAGATGGAGACCAACAATCTTTATTTCTGGGAAGCCCCCAAATGTTTCTCCCTGTAGGCTGATTCAGAAGCCCCCAAATGTTTCTCTCTGTATGCTGATTCAGAAGTGGCATTGCTTACCAACTTTAAAAAAAAAACATGGGTACCCTTCAGTGGTGGGTTTCAAAATTTTTTACTACTGGTTCTGTGGGTGTGGCTTGATGGGTGTGGCATGGCATGACATGGCTTGGTGGTCATGGCTTGGTGGGTGTGGCAGGGGAAGGATGCTATAAAATCCCCATTCCAGGGAAAGGATACTGCAAATTCCCCATTTTCTCCCGATCAGCTGGGACTCGGAAGGCAGAGAATAGATGGGGGCGGGGCCAGTCAAAGGTGGTACTACCAGTTCTCCGAACTATGCAAAATTTCTGCTACTGGTTCTCCAGAACTGGTCAGAACCTGCTGAAACCCACCTCTGGTGCCCTTGTCCCAAAGGTACTTTTTGAACAGGCAACTGGACTTTCTGGTTTTCCTTTGAAGACATTTCGCTTCTCATCCAAGAAGCTTCTTCAGGTAACATGGGTGCCCTTGTTACCTCAGCTATTAACTCTAGTACTCATTCTCAGCTCAGGCCTAGAAATCGGGACACTAAGTTCTAGTTCTATCTTGGGAATGAAAGCCAACTGGGTAACTGGGGTGGTGGGCGGGGCCTCCTGCTGGTTTTACTACCGGTTCTTGCAAACCGGTCCGAATCAGGGGCAACCCACCACTGCATGCTAGGAATGAAAATATTAGATTGCTTCAACAAAGAACTCTATCATAGAATCTTTCTATCCAGAGGGAAAGGGTAAAGGGAAAGGCTACTCAGATAGCTGTCGAAATGCAGAAGAATTGGCAGTTCAGCTGGTGCCCCCAGCCTTATTTTAGTTGTTTTATCATCAGTGTTTGCAGAATGTGGTGGTGGTGGTGGGGACTCCTTTGATATTCTCTGAGTGGACAGCAGTAAAATTGCCCAACGGATCATACCTAATAATGGTGAATTAATGCCTTGACTTCACAAGGGAGCTATCAGATATGGCAAAGCAGTTGTTTACACCAGCAGGCAAACCTTTGCCCTAGAACTAGGGGGAGGAAAAGACTGCAACACTCTCTATGCAGCATTTCTTCTGGAATGGAACTGAATCAGTAGTTCACAGTGTGGAGAGAACCCACACCCAGGGCAGCAGCACCAGTTTTGGAGCAGTAGAATCCTTGCATTATAGAACAGTCCTGAATACATGAGCATCTTGCTGTGCAAATTCCTGTGCATTGCATCATGATATAAGTACATAATGGTGGAGCTCATGACAGCACGGCATACATAATGTCATTTTGGCACTTTTTAGTTGTGAGGAATGGATGCCCGTGTTAAGCACGATGGTATAATATCTTATTTGTGTTACTCCAAAGCAGACATGTCTATGGAGATTCTCAATCATCCAGGTCATGGTTGTCCCAAAAGGGCTTTTTTTCAGAAGATGACTGGGTTTGCTTGGGTTTTTTTTCCCTTTGAAAATGTTTCCCTTCTCATCCAAAAAGAACTGAAGAAGCTTCTTGGATGAAAAGTGAAAAGTTCTCAAAGAGAAAAAAAACCCCAAGAAAGTCCAGTTGCCTTTTGAAAAAAGTACCTTTGGGAGAAACTTGACCTTGCTTATATATATAGATTTGTAAGATTATTATTTTTTTCTGTATACTTTACTCAAAATACAGTACAGATAATCCTCATTAGCTGATCACTCATTCAGCAAGGGTTCGAAGTTATGGTGGTGCTGAAAAAGGAGACTTATGAAAGGTTTTCAAGATGCAACTGTTGTGGGGTCCCCTCAGTCACATGATGTTGATTTGGGCACCTGGCAGCTGTCGTGCATTTACCAAGGTCGTAGCACTCTGCAGTCCCATGATTGCCATTTGTGACCCTCACAGGCAGCTTCTGACAAGCAAAGCCAATGGGGAAGCCAGCAGGAAGTCAAAGGTTGCATCACGTGATGTCACACTTAAAACCCACATTCACTTAATGACCACAGCTGGAACTGTCAAACTGTCATCAGGTGTGGTCATATTGGGCAGAGTCATGTGATTCTTTTTCCCACTTTACAACTGTACACCTAGTAACAGAGTTGCCAGCCCCAATTGTGGTTGGTAAATGGGAAGTGTCTATAGTTCCAACAATAATGAATACTTTTTAAGTAATGGTATATAACTTTAATATTTTAACTCAATTTTTAATCCTAATATTGAATACAAAGTTAAGTTCCTGTTATTAATCAGTTGTCTGCCTAAAGGCCATATGAAATAGTTAGATCTTTTTATGAATTATGGTTGCTGTTCTTTTAAAGAAAGCCAAATGATAAAGAATGCTGTATATTACTGTGTGGCAATGTGTTGATACGTTTAAATGTACAGATCTAAAGATCTTATATATTATTTTGTACATATATAGTTTTTATTTTTCTCTCCAGGGGTATGAAGGTTCTCTTATTAAACTCACTTCAAAGCAGGTAAGGCTAATACTGAATAAATGCTTTATCATAACCATCATAGGAGGTTATTAAGATGCGGTAAATTGGAAACGGTAAAGTTGATATAAAAGTTTAGCACAGAGATTTAAATATCAGTAATCTTTATATTTCTTTTTTTTAAAACAAAAGTCACTGAAGATGGTCAGAATAACTGGACTCATGGTTTTAACCCATTACAGTCTTTCTAGTTGATTCAGTACTTATCTTTTAACTCTATTGTATTAGAGATGTATGTTAGATGTACTTGAGAAATTAAAATTGTGTCCAGCCCAGTTCATCTTCAAAATGTGATCACTGACATGCAGAAAGGATGATTGTGATTACGTTATTGTATGCAAATCTCACTTTTTAAAAATATGATTTTATTGAAGACATTTTTAACAAGATAAAAAATACAAATGTATTAGAAAAGAAAAGAAATAAGAAAGAAAATAGAAAGAGAAATACGAATAGAAAAAAAAAAGAAAGAAAAAGCAGGGGGGAAAGAAATGACTTCCCATCTTTTTGACAGCAGTTATAAATACATTTATATTCCACCCTCTGTCTCTAAGGTTACATCATAATTTCCTTCTTTCCATGAGCTACCCTTTCTAATCTTCAAACCCATAAATCACAAGCTTTTTTCCTCTTTTTTCAGCAAAAAGTCCATAAGAGATTTCCAATCATTGATAAATGTAGTTGTTGATCTTTCTCTAATCAGACAGGTTAATTTTATCATCTGTACTAGTTCTGTCATTGTCTAGTTCGTCCATTCCTCTGTTGTGGGCATGTCAGAGTCTTTTCATTTCTGTACATATAAATAGTCTTGTGGCAATAATCATATATGAAAATAAACTTCCATGGATCCTTTCTAACTGATTGTTCACTAATCCCAGCAAGAAAAGTTCTGATTTTAGAATGTTGGTGTTTAAAATTTGTTGTATCATTGCGTGTATTTCTGGCTTTTTTACAAGTCCAGTAGTCGTTATAAAAATGATACATGTTGTCCAACATGCATTTAAAGTACCTTTATACATTCTAGATAATTTTTCTGGAGTCATATACCAATGTTACATCATTTTATTAAAAAAATTATTTTAGATTATAACATAATGTAAATTTTAGTCCTTTTAACCACATATTTTCCCACAGTTCGATCAGGGTATTGTGTCCAAAGTTCTTATCGCAGTCTTTCATTTGTTCTTTTGCCATTTCAAAATTTCAGCTAAATTACATTTTAGCAATTACATGTTCATCATTTGTACATAGTTAAACTTCATATTTGGTCATCTGTTGTCAATTCCAAATGTCCTATTATCAACCTTAAATGTTTCTCGCATACGAAAACCATTAAAAACGAAATCCCTCTTTAATCAATTACACTTTTGGGTTCGTTTTATAATCTCCATGTTCCTGTTAGAAGAGCTCTTAATAAGTTAACCATTTTTCTCTATCTACTGTTTCATTCCTGTAAAACGCTTCTTATGCTGAGAGTTATAAAGGCATTTTCAGGCATTGCCTGGGTTTATATCTATTTCATAGTTTCATTATAGCATTTCTAAGATAAAAATTCTCAGAATCTAAATTAAGCTTAACTTTTATTATACCATTAAAAAATCATACCATTCAAAGCTCAGATTGTGCTTTTCTAATTCTAAAATTATCTTTATTTCTCAGAAAAATCCATTCTTCCATCCCGACTAAGCAGCAGGCTACAAAATGTAATTTCAAATCAGACAGCTCCGTCCTCAACCCTTTGCATGTTAAAATATTTTATATTTAATTCTTCTTTTTTTTCATTGCCATAAAAATTTAGATATATCTTTTTTTGCCATTGTTTAAATATTAATCAGTTATCATAATAGATATTATTTGGAAAAAAACCTTTATTCTTAGCAAAATGTTCACTTTTATCATATAAATTCTCCCCAAAATGATAAATCTTATCATGTCCTTAATTTCCTTTCATCCCTTAAGATAATTATTCTGGTATTATATACAATTCATGTTTCATATTCAGGTATTTCACTTTTTTCTTATTCTTAAAACTGTTTTTTTTCCCATCAGTTCCATTTGGTTTTCCAGTTTCATATTCCTTGTTAACATCTGGGTCTTTTATTTATTTTAAAATCAGTTAACACCCAAGTGCTTTAGTTTTTCTATAAATATTTCTGCTCCTTCCAGGAGGTTTTCCAAAATTATCACTAGGTCATCAGCAAATGCCAGTAATGTATGTGTTTTTCTTTTAATCTTGATTCCAGCATTTCTCTCATCTTATACCTCTGTTTTGAATACTTCCAAAGCTAAAATAAATAGCAATGGTGACAAGGAGCATTCTTGTTTGGTCCTTTTCTGTAACTCACTGTAACTCTGTTTATTCTCAATTCACAATTAACTGTGTTTTTTGTGATATATAAATTGATTTTACCCATTTGATAAAATTCTCTCCAAAGTCCATATATTCCAAAATTTTAAACAAAAATGTCCAATTCAAAATTGTCAAAGGAATTTCTGCATCAAGAAAAAAATCAATGTTGTTTACTTTTCATAATGTTGTTTTAAGTATTCCAAAATATCCTATATTTCTATAGTCCTGTAAAACCATCTTCATTTTCTCAGCTGAAATCATCATAAATAACTTACAGTTATTATTCAATAATGAGAAATAATTTTTGGTCAGGTCAAATCTTGACTTTCTTTAGGTATTAATAGTATATTAGCCTCTATCAAACTCTCTGGTATCTTTCTAGTCTGTAAAATGAAGTTCATCATCTTTTGCAATGGTTATAGTCATTTGTCTTCAAAATATAATAACAAGCTGGTAAACTATCTGGTCCAGGTGCTTTCCTTGTTGTGACATTTTTATAGCTTTACAAACATTTTATATTGTAATGGATTTATTTGTTAATTATTTCTATATTTCTGTGATTTTTGGAAATTTTTGTTTCTTTAAATATTCATCTTTTCCAGGGAAGTTTCTTTTCCTTTACATTAATTAAAATAGTATTGATGGCTTTTCTTTTGTTAATATAATATTTCTATGTTTTAATTAATATTTTTTCTCATGTTCCTCAATTTATATGCCAACAATTTCACCAGCTTATTTGCAAGTTCAAATTTCTTTTTGTTTTGCATAATTTATTTTTACTTTCATTTCTCCTACCATTAACAAAGACCACTGCTGTCGTAAATTTAATTTGGTGATACATAAATTTTCTTTTGGGGGGATTGCTTTAATTCTTTAATTTTTATCTGATCTAAAATTGTGTTTTCTTGTCTCTTTTTTCACTTTATTATTATGCTGAATAAAATATCCCTTCATAAAAGCTGTTCTTGTGTCCCAAACCATTTTTAGTCTCTACCTTTATTTAAAATTACTATAAAAATGCCTTTAACTTCTTTTTACAATTTTTCATTACTGTTTCTTTCCGCAGCAATGTTTGTTTACTTTCCATCTGAAATAATTGGTTTTCCTTTTAAATATAAAGTTTTAAAATACCTTTGGCAGTATGTCCACTTATAGCCAAATTCTTGGATATCCAAAACATATTGAGAAAGATCTATGTCTTTCAGAATAATAAGTGTATTCTTTTGCATCATGATTTTTGTATCTTCATGCATTTACAAGCTCTAGTTTATTCATCATGTAAAAAAAAAGTTTTGATCATTTATCTTGTGATGTTTTAATATCTTTCTCAGAGGTACTGTCCTTCTGTGGACAAATGTCAGGCCCAAAAAACCAGTAACACTTCAAAGCCCTGAATAGTTTATTATTGTTACCTATACACAAGAATCTAATGGTCAAAGTTAAATTGGTGTTAAATAAGGGTGAATGGAATTCATGGGGAGCTGGACATAAATCTCTGGTGGCTGTGCAATGATTTCAAACTCATGACACATTTAACTCTGCCTTCCATCTCAGCCTGCTGATCTCCTACAACAAATCACTCTATTCCAATTTTCCTTAAATACCAATTTTCATATGATTAGTTTGTTCATAACTCTTTTTAAAATTTTACTTTATCTCATTTGGAGCATAAATTTCCATTATCAAAATTTTGATAATGGTAAATAGCTTCCAACCCCATATATCTACCCTACCTATTGCCCAATTGTTTTTATAGTTTTTATACTGTAAGCCACCCAGAGTCATTGACTGAGATGGGTGGCTATAGAATAAATAAATAAATATCAGTCAACATCAGTTCTGGTTTTAATTGGGGTTTACATATAAAACAATTCATTTTCTCTTTTTAATTATAACTGAAATATATTTTGCAGATAAAGTATTTTATATTCTTTTTTCTAATATGCATTTCTTAAAGACAAACTATATCTTGTTTGAATTTTTTAAAATAACTTTCTTCTTGTTTGAGGAGCATTTGCTCCATTATATTTCATATTAGGCTTTTAAAATTGATGTTTATACCAAAAACAAAATCAGTCCTGTCATTACCTAATGTTGTCTCTTCCTCAGTTTTTTGTTTTAGCTCTTTAAGGTACTGAGTGCTGGGGTTTTTTGTTACTTCCATTTGCATTTCTTCCAGTTTATCTTTAAACTTTCCTAGAAAGTCTCTTGCTTTTTGGATTGAGTTCAGTCTTGAACCCCTATGGTTTAAAAGTGAAACGGTCATGCTTTTAGCAATAGCTGCCATTGGAAACCTATGCCTGCAGATTTTCTTCTTATAGTTTGATTCCATGAAAGGGACAGATGACAGTGGAATGTATACAGTATAGGAATTTGCTGCTGCTGCTGCAATTTTTAAAAAGGATAAAGATCTTCAGGGTTGTTCATTTGGTAGCTAATCCAAATGTTAAAGAAATAGATAATTTGAAATTATTGGCCAATAAAACCCAAAATCTAGATTTAAAAACAGAATTGCTGAATCTTGATTATTTTGTCCAAGTAAAATTCCTGTATTCAGCATGACACAATTAGGGAATTATTGTATTATTATCTAAGTCCGTTTTTCATATTACTGAAAGACTAACAGATGCAGATTCTTTAAAAATATAATTTCAGATTTTTGTCTAAAAATCTTTATAAAAAACCTAGCCTAATTTTGATTGTTTTTCACTTGTTAGGTTGAAAGTATTTTGAAAGTAAAGTGTTTACTAAAGACAACAGAAGTAAGATTCTGTAGTTTCTGCTAAATTAAGTGCTCTAGTACAATTAAAGCACTTCCTTGCTTTAATGTTTTTATAGATAAATTAGTCTAAACAACAGTCCTGTTTTAATTCTTGGTAAATGCAGAGTGTAGATGAAGCATTTTGGAATAATTAAGTAATAATTTCCTTCTTTTAATTTCTTTTCATAGTCTGATTCTTTTGATACTGGATAAATGATTTTCCACAGATGGGACATCTCACAATCTTTAAGATTCATTTTGGAGGCATGATCTCCTAAAGTTTCCAAGAATGTGAGATAAAGAAAATTAACCATGGTCTTTTAAAATTGTTACTTAATATATAGAATGTAACATTGAATAGAATTGTTCAAAATATTTATTTTTAAATATGTCGAGTATGAGTTGTTGAGAAAACCATCATCTTAAATGCGAAATTCAAAATGCTTTGAGCATTTTGGGAGAAGCTTGAGCTTGAAACAAGAGGAGTTCCAAATTCAAGACAGTGAACTTCACCTTCCAAAATGTTTGGAAAGTCCCATCCAGCATTTGACAAGGGATATTTTGTGAAAATTCACACTAAAAAAAAAAAAAAATCAGAAATGAAATGTTTGGACGTAAACAAAGTTTAGTCAACAAAAATCTACACAATGAAAAATCAATATCAGTTTATGAACTAAAGATACTAAAAATAATGTAACTGTGTTTAATTTGAGCTATCACCAATATTTCAAATGAGAGTTTTCTCCTTAATTTTTGAGTTAAATGTAGCATATGAAGTAATGGATAATTTTGACTGTGAACCGTCCAAAAATATTCTAATTTTTCTCTTCTTTCAGCCTGTGGGTTTCGTTAGCTTTGATAGTCGCTCAGAAGCAGAAGCTGCTAAGAATGCCTTGAATGTAAGTACATACTATTAGTCTCAGTTGACTGTGTTGCTTTCTAAGTATGGTTAAATACTTAAGTACAGGGATGTAAATACATACAGGGAAGAGGCACTGGACTATATTAAAATGGAGCTCTATTGTCTACAGAGTCATGTACTGCAATTCAAATGGGAGTTTGAATTGAAATTTCAAATGGGACTGTTGTTTTGAATACTTCTAAAAATGCATTTGCATGTAGAAATGATCAACTTTAGCAGAATAGAAATGAAACCAAAGGGGAGATCGTTATATAATGTACTGCATATAGAGGATTGACTTATATCTCTATGCTATATCTACTTCATCTGTCAAGTGTCCATGGAATAAATCAAATAATTTTGAACTGCCAAATAAAGTGATGATTGATTATGGGTCACCAAGTTATCAACTCTTGGTGACATAAAGATAGACTTTATCCAGGATGATCTGTCCCCAATCTGGTCCTTCATGGTTTCCAACAGTGCACTTCCATGACTGTAATCAAGTTCATCCAGCTCACTTCTGTTTTTTTTAAGTTATTATTTGTTTTATTTATTTATATTCCTATTTCTAAACTGTCCTTCCCCCCTGGAGATTGGTTATCCTGCTCTGTTTTCTTCCATCTCTCCCATCATTATGACTTGTTTGTTTATTTAAATGTATTTCTCAAGGGAGCTATGTCTTACATAAAATGTCAAAATATGATAATTTTAGCCTGATCACTCATGCGTTCTTTCATTTGTTTGTTTACTTAGGTTCTCATAGTTATCTTGGGAGTCCTTCCCAACACCACAGTTCAAAAATCTCAATGTACTTTCTATCCTTTTTTTAAATCATATCCCACTTTAACTTCCCTAATCCATCACAAGAAAAACCATTGCTTGAACAATTCTTGTCTCTGTAAATATAGACATATCATAACATCTGAATATCTTTTCCAAGGCCTTCAGTACCAGCATGATGATGATGACGATGATGATAGTGATGATGATGATATCATCCATTTAGTTGAGTCCAACTTTTGGCAATTCTCTCCACATCTTCCAATCCACTGTTTCCTCGAGTTTTTCTATGCTCTGGCTGGTGTCAGCTTTGATGTTGATTACTCATTGTTATTAGTTTGATCCTCTTTATATTTCATTGTAATTCTATTGACTGTCATTGACTGTCTTTAGTAAAGCTTCCAGATTATTTGTATTCTCAGCTATCAAAGTACCATTGTTAACATAAACCAGGTTATCAATTTTCTTCTTCCAATTTTAAAACCACACTCATTTTCTTTCAAACCAAATTTCTTCAATATACAATTCTGCATATAGTTTGAATAAATGGCAGGAGTGACAACTCTGTCTAATTCCTTTACTAACCTGGACCCAATCTGTTTTGCCATGTTCTGTCTGTTCTGTGGTTTCCTGATCTGTGTATTGGTTCTGCATTAGGATAATATGGGATTCCCATTTTTCTAACCTATTGCTTACCATATTTCTATAAATGTTTCATTAACCCCTCTGGGTTTCCAACTTGGTAATAAATATCTTCTATCATTAGAAGTTCTTGTAAAAAAGGAACATCTTCTAAGGCAGGGGTCCCCAACCCTCAGGGTGTGGCCCACTACCAGGTTGTGGCCTATTGGGAACTGGGCCGTGCAAGAGGAAGACTGGTTAATGTGTGCAGCTCCATTCATGCAAGTGGCACTCCAAAGGCTTCTCTTTTGTGTGAGTGGAGTTGCACCTATGTGCTGGCCTGCTGCTTGTGCCACCTGGTTCCCTCTCCCCCCCCCCCCCAATCTGCCTGCTCACGATGCTCACAAAGCAGAGAAGTAAGAACAGAGACTGATGATGTGGCCTGCAAGCTGCCAGCAGAGCTCGTAGCAGACTCAGATGATGAGGAGGTTGGGGAGGAACGTGGGCCAGTCCTGGAGTCTGGGGAAGGCTCTGATGGATGTTCTGCATCGGAAGCAGAGATAGAGCCAGGACCATCCAACATTTCCCAGCTGCTTTCAGAGTCGGAGATAAGTGGGGAAGAAGAACAGCTGGGGCCTGTTCCAGATGTGCATATGCGCAGAGCCGCCAGGAGAGGAGAACAACTGAGGAACAGGAGTCGACTCAGGAAGAAAGGTACACATGGACACTGAATGGCCCCTCCCTGGCTGGGGAATAAATAGAAGCGAAAGGGGAGTGGTGGCTGCAGGAGACAACAGTTTGTATTTCTTTCGGAAGATTTGCTTATCGTGGTCCGTGCCTCAGAGACTGCTTGTCAGGAATTAATTTACAGCTTTGTGACTGGAAGCTCTGGGCCCAGCAATTATCCAAGTAATGATAAGGTCTGTTACTGTAGTTAACCCTTGGAAGGATTATTGCCTGGACTTTTCTGTGTGTGAATACCATGAATTCACAGTAGCTAAAAAAAGAGGGGGTTTTCAAGACGAGTCTGTTCCTTGGTTCTGCTAAGGCTGGGTCACAACAACTGAGTGGGATAAGCATGCTCTGCTCAGCTTCGCTGACTCACAGAGGCTGCCTGCTCAGGATACCCGATCCACTTTCAGAGCATTGAGCAGCCTCGGTTGACTCTGAAGAAGCATGAGACCATGCCCCCAAAGGCTTCTCTGTGCCAAAAGCTTTTGCAAATGGATGAAAGGCTTCTCGCATTGCTTCAGGCTTTCTGTCCCTTTGCAAAAGCTTTTGGCATGGAGAAGCCTGAAGGAGCATGAAACTGCACCCCAAAGGTTTCTCTCTTGTGGGAGTGGAGCTGTGTATGTGCATGTGCACTTGCATGCCAGCCCACCTCTCACTTCCCCTCTAACTGCCCCCCAGCTGGGCTGCAAGCTGCAAAGGTTGGAGACCGCTTTTCTAAGATATCTTGAATGTTGACATCTCTACTGTAGAGAATTTCCTAACTTTGATCTTTTTTGAATTATTTACTGTTTGCTTATAAGCATCCTTTAACATATCAGTTTTAGGTTGGAACTTCTCTCTGAGTAGGAAATCTTTTGAGAAATGTTCCTTGTTTTTCTTTCTCTGTTTCCATCTTTGATGTCTTCACAGATGTCATTGCAATATTGCTTCTTGTCTCTTCTAACAGTTCTCTGAAATTCTTTGATAAGTTACTTCTTGAGATCTTTGTTTTTCTTGACTTTGGCTTCTTCTCTTCATGGCAATTTTCACCATCTGTTCGTACATCCACTTTGCTTTCTTCTGGTTTTATGGTCTTTGCTATCTATTTTCACATTCATCCTAAATAACATCTTTGATATAATTCCGCAGTTCGTTTGTTTCCTATCAATGAGGTTCAGTACTTCAAAGCAATTCCTGATGTTCTCCTTGAAAATGATGGGCATATGCTCAAGATACGTCATGGAAACTGGTTGGCTTTGTTCCTCCACTTTAGCTTGACATGGAACTTGCTCATGAGCAGTTTGTGATTCTTTGCATAGTAAATCTCTGGCCACATCTTTACAGGGTCTTCCACTATGTTACTTGTACCAGTAATATAGCCAGTTTGATATCTGTCTATTCCACTTGATGATGTCCATGTGCTGGATATGGCATTGATTGTTTGAAGATTGCAATGGAGATTAGCATTGGAGAAATCATTGGATTGACAGATATGATAATCATTCTTGTGCTTCATTTCTGTTTCCTAGGTGATAGAGTCCAACTATGTTTTTTATTCTTTATTCCAACTGCTACATTCCAATCTGTAAGCATAAGCAATACATCTTGCTTATATGTTCTGCCAATTTAAGATTGACCTTAATTATTCAACTCATTAACTTTTTTTTTTCTGCATCAGAATTGGAGCATAAACTTTAATAAACATATTAAAGGGTAATCTGCAAAGTCTAATTGATATTATTTGGTCATTTACTGCATCATAGCCAAGGAAGATCCTTGCTATATTTTTTTCTGACTATAAGAGCAATGCTATTTCTTCATTGTTTTTATGTCCTGATTAGTAAGCAGTATGATGCTTACTAATTTCTGAATGGAAATTTCCAATTCCACTCCATTTTAATACTCTGATGCCTAAGTTTTCAATGTGCAGTTGACTCATTTCAGTTTTTACAACGTTGAGTTTTACCATGTTCATGCTTCTTATTCCCATGTTCCATGAAAATTCTAATTTTTTACAGAATCTCCCTGTCTACATTTCAACATCAGCAGCTCAACATCCTGAGGGCTTTTATGAAATTGCATCATAAAAACCATTAGTACTTTGAAAGATCCTCAGTTTTCCTCCATAGCATGTTGGGTGCCATTTAACCTGAAGGGCCCATCATCTGGCACCATGTCATCAATTATTTTATATTATCTATCCATATGGTTTTCTTGGTAAAATACAAGAGCAGTTTACCATTGCCATCTTTTGCACTGTATGAGATGATATTTTTGCCATTGTCTCTAAAGGGATGAGCTACTTCAGTATCTTCCTATAGTGCTGCTGCCTGATATAAGTATCTACTTCCATTAATTGAGCGGCTGAGTTGACCTTCATGTCTTGTGTGACCTTCTTGGAAGTGTATGTTTTTGGTGCACATTCCAAGCATTCTTCATTCATCCCTCCCAGGAACATCCCCTGTCATGATACAGCAAGATGGTAGGATTTCAGAGAGAAAGATGCAGTGGAGAATATACAGTTCAAACACTATTATGGTATGCAGAGAATGAAAGAGCAGTGTCCTTCATTCCTGCCTGTATAAAGGAATAAAATTTATTTCCAAAGAGGGTAAACGTCAGGGGAACTTTTGAGAAGTCAAGGTGCATTAAAATGGCAAGCATGACTGGGCAATTGAAGCCCCACCTTTTTAATGGGCACAGCAAAGCCAGTACATGAAGTGAGATAGGCCACTTTTAAATTTGGCCTATATTACCCACAGGCAGTTCAACACACACATGTTTATTGATGGAAGACATTGTAGTAGTCATTAACCCTAGTGGTTAAATAATCATAAGCTCAGTATATCTCCTCCAAACAAAAGATCAGTCTAAGGCTTCGTA